TAGAGAGAAGTAAAAGCTGTACCTGAGTTAAGTTAGGAGGAAGGAAACAGTGAATGCTAAGGGAAGTCTGCCAAACTAAAAAGGCAAATTATAGGGGGTCATGTACATAAAAAGAAATAATGAAAAGAAAGCTACACCCATCCAACTAAGTGCTTTCACATTTAACAAAGTAATACATTTATTGACTGTTAATTGCATTTGTTAAGAATTTTTAAATAAAATTGAGTATTTCTGGTCCTTCCACTGGTGATCAGATCTTTCTGAAAATGCTGTCACTGATCAGGCAAGCAGTAAGCACACAAAGTGTCAGACACACAAATAAATCAGTCTATTACCGTTTTAACATTCAAATTCTTTTATTAGGGTTCAGCACTGAAGTCTGACTCAGTCCCTAGGCAACCACAACTCCCAGGGAAGCCAAATCTTGCTAGCATTCCAGTCACTGGAATATCTGCCTATATAAGAACTTCAGGCCTGAGTCCCTTCATTATCAAAATAGAATAACAGTACTAGAACTAGCCAACCATCTCTGACACTATTACTGAGTAGTAACTTTAGTGTTAAACACCATTTTTAAAAGCAACTAAGTGATTTAGATTCCTAAGTCCCATTTCCAAAGCGATTAGGACTACATTTTCAAAGATGCATCTATCTAGTGATAGTTTAAAAAGCACCATCACAGGCTAGGCATCTTAACTCCCAGGGAAATCAATAGGAGTTAGGAACTTGACCTATTTAGGAGCTTTTGAAAATCCAATTAGGAGTTTATGTGCATCTTTACATGCCTAAATATCATTGAAAGTCAATGAGGCTTAGGCTTCTCCGTGCCTAAATCACTTTGAAAATGGCACTTAGGTGCTCTTGAACATTTATTCATGGTCCTCATTCCAAGCATCTTACAATTAGAGACCAAGCTGAACAAAACACCACATCTGAACTTCTAATCCAAACCATATATTTTAATAACAGACAGATACAATTCCTAGGTCCAGACGAAACTGGAGTGATAGCCATGTCCAATCCAAATGTCCAAACTTCCACAAAGTTTGGGCTAGTAGAATATACTTTTTTATTTCAATCCATTTCAGGAAAAAGTTAAAGGTCAGGTGTGAATCCCAGGGAAGATACACTTCTGGTTGGGCTATCTCTGCTTACAACTCAAGGCCATGCTCCTTACACTAGTGCTGAACTTCATGCACTCACAGTAGTCCCTACTGACGTCAGTGAGTCCAATGGGACTTCTCATTGTCAAAAAGTTACTCGTAAGTGTAAGACTTTGCAGGACATGCACGTAAATCAGACACAGACAAATACTTGACACACACAAAATGCTACATTTCGGTAAGGATCACTTGAAGAATGCCCAGCAATGCAATAAAGTAAACCATGTATAAAATGGAACTGTTAATAAATAAACAAAAGTGGGGAAATAGGCATGGTTTGCACACACTGAAATTAGTGATATAAATCCAAACAGAAGCTCCAGTTAGAAAGCCATGATAGCGAAAAGATGAATGTATCTAAGGCCCTGATCCTAAGATCACGGAATGCAGGTGCACTACTGAAGCCAACAGGGCCCCCAGAGTTGCATCTTTGTGTACACACTCAGCAGTTGCAGGATGGTGACAAAATAATATGGTAATAATTTTCCTTTGAATCCTACTATTCTTGCTTTAGAAAACCTCCCATTAGATTAATGGATGGACTTCAACGAACTACTATGAATGTTTTGCCTTAAGAATTATAGGGTTAGACTTGTGGTGTCCAAAACCACATGTGGCTATTTGGCCAGTTGAGTGTGGCAAATCGGCTTGAATAATGCTGCTACATGGCTAGTTCGCTTCAGAACTGGTTGGACACCACAGGAGATCATTAATGTATAAACTGTTTCCCTAGAGATTTCAATGTAAACAAATTCTTTGAAATAATTTACTACACTTAAAACTGTCAGCAAATATGTTTTAACTACTCTATTCTACTTACAAAGCAGTGAATAAAAAGACATTTAAAAATAACTATTTTAAACAAAGCTTATTTTCCTGTAAGAAATCTCTCAGCAATCATCTGCAAAATAATTAATGTATGAATCATCTGCATATGTTTTATAGAGGAAGTACTAAGAATGCTTTATTCAGAATTTGTAAAGGCTTAATTATGAAGTATTTGGCTTCATTAAGAATGATAATTTGAACTCTACCATTCTTGGAAAGTATCCATGGATCATTATATTATAGTGAGAGAGCTACCATTTACACTTTTCTTTGGAATAATAAGTCAAGAAAATGTAGTACACTTTTTAAGCACTGTTCCATATATTGGTCCTGATAGCTCTTAGCTATTAATGATCTGTAACACAACATGACTGAGGTTATGCACAATTGGTTCAGAAGAATTGAAATTAAATAACCCTCTAAGAAAAGGTACCCTCTTCAGCTAAAGTTCAAAGATTTATCATAAAAAATTCAACAAGCAAAATTTGTGTTTACATTTACAATAATAAATAAATTCAGACAAATATTTATTTAAAAAAAATACATTATAACAGAACAGCATGTATATGTTCATCATGAAAAACAAAACTACTCTTATCTGGACCCAAATGCAAATACATGCTAACAATTCAAAAATCATTTCAGGGCATTCCAGAAACATGAAAGAAGCTACCTGTTTGTGAATGTACTATTTTTCTACTTGGTAAATATGCCTGAGAAAGTTAACCTGTAAAGAAATAGGCTTTTAAACTCTTAAACACAAAGAGCTTTCTACAGTGAAATGGTGAAGAGACCTGTGATATGCACCTGACAGACCACTAAGCCATTTCCCACAGAGATTCTGTTCACTGCTCCACCTCAGTTCAGTGATCTAGCAGTGGCACAGTTTCACATCAATACCAAATTCATTCAACCAAGGCATTAAAACAGCATGCAGAGATGATGTAAAATCATCAGTTTATATACAGATGGTATGTGGAAATCATACAGATTCTCTACCCAAGTCAGTGTACTGTTGTACAGTATTATGGACAAGTAAAGAGTAATGATAATGGAGGGATTATATGTCTGGCGCAAATTAAGACCTTTTAAATACTACAATTTCAATATAATCATCTAGAATCAAAGACTGAAAAATAAGCACATACATAAATAATCATTTTAGAGTAGCCACATACTATAGCTAAATGGGAATCAATATGTAGCTTTGGAAAATAGTACCATAAATTGTGCTTTGGGTATATGAAAATAAAATATTACCAGCAGGCACAAGCAGTCTGACATGTGAAAGGAAGCAGTGAATACTTTGGGGATTGAATTTCTTTTCATCAGGATTTGTCTGTACCTACTGTATGCAGATGACAAATGATACTTGGAGAAATACAAGATATTTAACTCAAATGGGTTTTAGATTTTTGCCTTTTCTTGTATTAAAAGAAATAAAAATGAATAATAAAAAATTATATACTGAGGATTGTTCAGAATCTGAGTGCATGCTTTCTTCATTAAGAACAATAGGCCAGTTCCAGTCCATGCAAATTAATGTAGCTCTGTTGAAGTCAATGGATCTATGCCAATTTACAGAACACAATATCTGACACTATACCTCCAATTTTAGTGGTCCCATTTATAGTAGTATAAACAACTGCATACTTTGTAAATTATGTGGGTTTGAAAAAAAACAATCATGGGCATACAAAAATTCTAATAGAAACCTTTAATTTTCATAATTTAGTTAAGCAGATTATACATGATCATACTACATGAGCTAGATCATATGAAATAAAGTTAGCAACAAAACAAACTCATAAAGTCTTATGAGAAAAAAAACCCACAACAATAAAATGACTGAATTTTAGCAAACAGCCAGTCCTACCCTCCAATGTTGAAATACATTAAAATATACTATTGCACATATGTATGTATTTTTCTGAGTGTGATCAGGAAGCAGCTTCCTTCCCCCCCTCCCCATTTATAGCACTGCACAAATGGGAAGGTCCATTATGGAGGCTTTTTACTGGCCTATGAATTATAAGGTATTGCCCACTGCTGGAGACAGATTATCAGATCAGTTAACTGATTCAGTGTGGTAAATCACGTTATTCTTTCACCACTAGTGAGTCCGGCATCAAGAGCATTCTGCACTGGTCTGACACCAGACATGCTGTTAAGTTACACTTTCCAATCAGTACTTCATTCTTCAGTCTACTTGTAGTATGTGCAGAGAGGAAAGCAGAACACCAATTATAAGGAGTACTATCAGGGCATCTTGATCAAGCAAAGCCTTTAAACAAGTGCTTAGCTTTCTGTGTGTGAACAGTCCCACTGATAACAATGGCATTATTCACATCCTTAACATTAAGCACACACTTATGAGCTTTGCTGGACCAGGTCCTAAGAGAGGAGGAGCCAGTATCAGAACAGAAGAAGCGCACTGAGAGGAGGAAACGTGCAATGCAGTGCAAGGGAAGTGGAAAGCATCTTTTAAGTTTATAATTGTTTAAGGAGGACAAATGGGGAGAAAGATAGGCTAAGGTTATTATCTATATCGCAAACACAGGGTGTGACTGCAGCTCAAGAAGACATACCCTAAACTAGCAAGCTGGCTAGCTTGGGTCCTGAAACAGTGAAGCCCTAGCAGTGAATACTTCAGTGCAAGCTGTATAAGTCCACCTGAAGCCCTGGTTAATTACGCACATGGCTGGCCTGCACTGAAACTCACTCTGCCACAGCTTCACCGCTGATATGTGAGCTAGCTAGATTTAAGCTAACTTGGGGAGGTCTCCTTGAGCTGCAATCATATCCCATACTTGCAATACAGACATACCCAGAGCAGGAGACTGTATATTGTGTAAGGGGGTATCTTCTGGGTTCAGGAACTTTCTTAGAGCCCCTGCTTATTTCACAAGGTAAGTGGCATGCGTGGTCATATTCTAAGGGGCAAGAGGAGAATTTTAGATGGCAATGCTATGATTCTGGCTGAAGAGCTTCATTTTCCTCCTCCCATACCTGAAAGCCTTGAATCCTTGCCAAATATTCCAGCTGTTTTGAAGGCTGCACTGCAGAACAGGGGGAAGCGGGAGATAATCCTTTTAGACCTATGGCTTCAGCAGTTGGGGATGTTCCATTCATGAGGAGTTCCCTGGCAATTGTAGCTGTACTATTGGATGCAGCAGATATGCTGAAGAAAGAGCTAGAAGTCTGGCTCATTTCTTTGGATGACAAATAGCTTACAGTGGTGCTAGGAGATGCTTTGTTGCGGCTTGCTTCCATCTCTTGATAAACATCAGGTGAGAGATGGAGAATTCCCTTTGGCGCTGAAAATGAAAACAAAGACCATTCTCATCACACTTGCAGTGAGTTAAAGATGGATAATCATGCAATTGTCAGTCAGTTTAGATGCTTCCCATCTGAAAACAAACTGGGTCAGACAAAGAGTCTTTTGCAGTAGTACTGTGTGTCAGAATGAATAATCTACCTGATTATAACCAAAACTGTTTTCACTGGACATTAAAGGGAAGCTTTTTTTAAAAAAGGTCTTAAATGTAGCCTCTAAAACTATGTTTGAACTTTGGCATTCAAAGACTATATGGAATGCTGAACTGAGGTAATGCTCAACTGAGTCAAAACTTCCAGGACACCGACATACCTCAAAAATGATAATACAATCTTTATTTTGTTACTAGGAAACGTACCCAGCATTGCCCAGATCTAGGGCCGACCCTGGTGAAGGGGGCCACGTGGCCTGCCCGCCAGCTTCTCCCCGGGGCCAGCCTCAGCAGGAGGGTTGCGCAGCCCATACATCAGCTTTGCCTTGGGGCTAATCTGGGGTTGGGGTGATGGAGCATGCAGTCTGCCTGCCAGCTTCTCCCGGGACCGGCCAGGGGCCCAGCTGGCAGCTGCTGGCCTGGAAAGCCGTGGTGTCAGGGGCCAGAGCTCCACGGGGCTAGATTGCTTGCTGCCTCCTATTATCATTCGTGAGTTCCTCCTATCACATCCCTCCCTTTCTGTTTGATGCGAAACAATCACATTCCATGTACATCCCATTGTCCTGGCACAACCAAATTATGACTTTGCTTTAATTTATGATAAGAGGGAGCTGCATATCAAATTTGATGGTCCCAGCTCTTACTGTTTAAAAGTGTTCTTGAGCAAATGGACTCACATACAGATGGCCGAGCATACAGACACACACACAAGTTCTATAAAATATATAGTAGATAGTCCTCTTTCTTCCCACATCCATATACCTGAGGAAACCCGCTGAGATTCTCACGTAAGTGTGCAGGATCAGGGCTTAAGTGAGGCAGTGTTAATATATATTTAAGCTACATTTTGAAAACAATTATATCCATTTTGCAGATAGTTTAAAAGATAATAATGAACATGAAAATGTTTTATTAAATCACAACAAACAAACTGAAGCCTTCTCTTGGTAGCAATCAGACTGCCTAAAAGGTGACACTGTGATACCTGGAAGTATGGAAGTCCGTTTTAAATGGTAAACCAGTTTGGCAACTAGTTTAGCAACGAGAAGAACAATGGTAGGGTTCAACGTTTACAGGTTATTTTTCATTTACAATGCACATTAATATCATTTGAAGATTGTAGAACAGTCTTGAAGAAGAATGGAAACTGGATTTCTAATATCTTATAATATAAGTGGCAAAAATGGTATTTTTTTAAGTAAGATGTCTACTGCCAGGAGTAGATTTAGAAATGCCAGCTATAATTAAAATCCTTAACTTCAAATACACGGTGAACATTCTTCCTTGTTGTATTTTCACATTGCTGTCTGAGAAAACTGGTTCTAGGTGTATCTTTTAATTCCTTTACTCATAGTTTGGCTTTTAATCTATTATAAGCCACATATAGCTAGACCACAATCCAATATTGTTGATTATAGGCATGAAAAGGTTTCATGAAGTATTTGGCTGCATTGTTAAAACGTGAACAATTTAGTGACTATAATGATTAATTTCACAAAAACAAATTTAACGTGTGGTTCAACAGTTTGACCTTGAGAATTGTATTCACACAAATGTACAGACTCACAAAAACCCCACTAGCAGAACTATTCTCATGAGTAAAATAAGAAGGACAGGATGTCAAATTCTGGCTTCACCCACACTGAGGCATTACAAGAGCAGGTGCAGAGCTTCATCAAGTTGCTTCACCTCACAGCAGTTCAGGCTCACAAAGGTGCACAGTGGAACTGGGTACATGAATGGAAAGAGCAAGACACATTCTTTACCCAGCTAATTTGCTATGTCCTGTTTTCTTGCCTGAAGTTTAGAGATCTCTATGGTTCCAGTCCTTCCACTGACTTTGTGTGGACAGATCTCCAGTGAAGTCAGTGGGGCTCTGCACAGGCAGAAGGGTTCACCTGTGTGAACCACTTCCAGGACCAGGATCCCCAGATCAATATCTTGCATGGCTTTTAAATGGCTATGCTATGGAAGTGTTGGTGTGGGACAGCAAGAGGCTCCCAGCACTGTCTTCCTCCCCTGGCAGATCTGTTCATGACAATCCAGCCCGTTTAGTATAAAACACAATATGCATCAAACAGTGTTATGGACAGTATTTTAGTAATGACTATACACCCTTCATACTCCTGCACCTTCAGATAAGCCTCATCTTACCTCACATTTTTTAAATTGCTTTGTAAAATGGTTTAAATTGTTTAAACAGACATAGAGCATCTCCCAATTTACTGGAAGGTAAAACTAGGCAACATAAAACAAGAAACAAAACAAAATAGTGTTGCAGATACTTAGCACCTTGTAAAATCTGATCCATTGAGAAATAAATGTGATAAATTCAATAATTTAAGTGAAATAACACACTGGTACAGAAATAACATTATGTAAAACATTCTTATTTTGGAAGAAAAACAGCACAATGCTAACTTTTTTACAAAATGTTTTAAACCAAATCAAGTTCTGCAGATGTCTATTCCATTGATGTAATATTACTTAAAACAAACATTTCACATGCTTTCTCAGCCTTTTCAATGTTTTTACATGATCCACCCAAATATCTAACTGCTGTCTGGAACAATAGTTTGGAATTTTTCCAGACTACCAAACTTTCTAAATGTTAAAATAACTAATATATGGCATATGATGAATAAAATTATATTCAGCAAGATGTATCAAATGTTCTTGCAAACTACCTACATGGCTATAATGGAGATGGTGAATTAATAATAGGATCTGAATTTATATAACATCTTCCAGCTGAGGATCTCAAAATGTTTTTTTAAAGTAATAATTAGTTAAGTCACAGGAGCCATCTAAGAGGTAAATATTATTGCCATAACTGGCTATTTTTAAAAACAAATAATGTAGTATTTTGGACATTATATTAATACACTTGAAAACTGCTGGGATTTTATCTTCAGAATTTAAGTTTAATGAAGCGAATTAAAACTTGCTTTAAACAGCTGCTGCAATAGCACAGAAAATGTATAAAATCTTTTCTGGAGCGTTTGTGCTAAGAAATATATTTTCTTAAGTTTTATTGCCTATTTTAAAAAATAATACCCTCTAAACAATTCCTCTATGCCTGCTCCTTTTGTTTGAATGTCACAGTTTAGTTGCTGTGAGAATTATGGTACCACAAAATGATGATTAGGACATCAAGCAAGGAATGAACTATAGGAGCATAAGAACTCTTCAGAAACAAATATCAGAGACTGCTTTCATACATACATTTTTGTTAATAAAATTTGGGAAGCTAAAGTACAAACAAATGAGATAGCTGTTGATCCATTTCTAGACAGGAGTTGTCCACACAGCATAAATGGATCACTAAGGGCATGTCTACATAACAAGGCAAAACTTGAATTAAGCTATGCAACTTCAGCTACATCGGTTGTGTAGCAGAAGTAGAAATAGCTTAATTCAGCTTTTGGCACTGTCTACACAGCAGGAAGTTGAAGGAAGAACACTCTTCCTTTGCCTTCCCTTACTCTTTGTGAAATGAGGGTTACCATGAAGACCTCCAGCTCAAGGTTATTTCGAAATAATGGCTTGCCATGTAGACGCACTCTTTATTTCAAAATAACATCATTGATTCAGAAATAACGCTGCTGTGATCCAAGTGATCCAAGTTCTTATAAGCTTATTATTCCTCTGCAAAATCTCAATTTTTTTGTTCATTCCAAGAAAAAATTGCCTTATGCTAAATTTAATTCAAATCTCACATTACAGAATTATATGCAACCATAAATCATAAAGGTTATAGCAAAGACGCAGATTAATATGTGATAATTACCATGAGTCTCGGGATTTCACCATATACATCAATAGTGGTGCACCTTCTGCTGGATATAACCTGGAGGTGCATTCATGAAAGACTAAATAATTTCCATGCACAAGGATATTATTTACACCTGTGGGCAATCAAGTAAGGAAAATATGCAGACTAGCTATGCTGTGTAATCACTAACATTCAAAAACATCTCTTGTCCATTCTTTAAAGGTAATTGTAAGCAGTCTCTTAAAACTGTAATCTCTAATGACTTCCAACCCTGCAATCAAATACAGGTGTGTGCCAATCTGATACAAGAAAACTGCAAAGCGGTAGGGAGGAATATTCTAGAAAATGGCTAGATCATGACAATATAGGAGCCTGTGTAACTTCTCTACATGGACTGTCTCTGTAGTTTTACCTGTGTGTTACACACCCATCCTTCCCTGGAGTAGCAGTGGCAGGGCTACCCGTGCAAGAGGCGTCTTTGTTCCTATTCACCATTCCTCTTTGGACAGGCTGAAGCTTCTCTCCTCCTTGGATCTTCTCTTCCCACTGTGAACGAGTCCCTTCCAGAGGAGAACTCAGCCCTCACCCCATCATGTATGTAAGGGCCCTTGCCAATGTCACCCCAGCAGAATCCTGGTGAGAGCAAGCCCACCCCAGACATAACGTCTCTGTAGTAGTATTGACAGAGCGCAGGTTCCTGAGTTAACAATGCAATAAAATGAATGGGGCACTTATAGGGTTGCCAGGTGTCCAGCTTTGAACTGGACAGTCCAGTATTTGAGCTTTCTGTCCAGGAAAAAAAAAAGAGAAAATACCAGACATATCAAGGTCCGGTATTTTCTAATTAGGTAATTTTTATTAATATCATGAGTGTCAGTACGTCGTTGCATGCTTCCTGGCTGGTGACACGCAATGTGAGCGTGTCTATCAGCCAGGCAGTACGCAACTACACAATAGAGAGGAGGTGGGTGGGGGCAGGGCCAGTGCAGGATGGAATCCCCAGGGCTGGACTCACCTGTGCACCCCACCGGGGCCATGCATGGGATGGGCAGCA